GTTAAAATCTAAGCCTTTGGTAAGACATCAGCTGTAAATATATATTTGCCCTTGTCACACTATTTATTCAAAATTAGTTACAACCCACTAATAGGATTAGCGTAAATCATTAAAATTTAGACTCGTTATTCATGTTGTAAAGGCTTTAAACGAATTTAAGGACTGTAAATTTATAGTGGGTCATATATCAACAAAATATCTCCATAAGGTTGCGATTAGCGTTGACGTTGTCTTAGTGAATTGCGAACTCAGCCAGTACCCTATAGAATATTACTAAGTACGTATGTTGGCGTAAAGCTATTAACTAATTTTTTTATTTATTTATTTGTTATTTCGTCAGGGGCGGTTCTGGGGGGGCAGTGCCCTCGTGACAACATGCGTGGCTCCCCCTGTGCCCCCCCCCGAAATATGTATGCTACTTGCGTCTGAAATAAATGTATTATTCTCAGTACTATCATTATTTACCTGTATGTATGTGGGTTAAGACTTTGTGCCCTGGGAACATATGAAACACAAACGTAAGCGCATTTCCTTGACGGACTCTTAACGCGAGTTCGCCCAGTGCATGGTCGAGTCTATGTAGTCGGTGAAATGGTCTAAAACCTCCACTGTATTTAGTTCATCTGTGATTTTGGGGGTGATCCGTTTCATGTGTAAAACGTGTATACCTTGTTCCGTGTGTACTGAATTCTTATGTTAAGTTGGAAAAAGAATTGGGGGTAACTCCAGCATTATAATGGCTTTAAAAAAAATTGAACTGATACGTGAACACTAAGGTATAAAATACAAATCCGTGAATTGTTTACGGCAATTCTTATTTTACACTATGTGTGTTCTACAGAACTATGAATAACAACTATAAATACATTACAGTGTGTGAATCAGATGGAAACTTTAGATTACAGATGGATTAAAGCCAATTATATGTTGTACTTCACACTTTTACTATCTTGCATGTGCATAATTTACGGTCGTGGGTGATTTTATTGAGATCATAAGCAATTCTCTTGTAAAACAAACTGAAACCAAATAATCTTCTGCTTTTCACATTTTTATTGGTTCGAATTTGAATTTGGCATTTTTATTTGCAGAATCAAAAACGCCTGGTATCCTTCACAGGAAGTTAATTAAATTCGGTGAGAGACGGGCGGTTCTCGGTCCCTGTGCAGCTGACCTGGACTGTGAAAATGTGCAGGTGAAAATTAACGCCGTAGCTTCAGCTGCTCTCAAGCTCACTTCTGTTGTAATGAGCCAAGCGAACAGAGCATTAGAAATATGACCATCCGCGAACACCGACATTTACAGGGCTACAAATCCATTTCTGACGACCTCGGCATTCCTATTTCTGCAGATTACAGTATTATTCAGAAGCTTGCAGGCAATGAGTCTATATGTCAACCTCCTGGACGTGAACAAGTGACACCGCATATCTTGTTCAACATTGGCCATAATTATCAAAAATATATAAATAAATCAGGAACTATTTTCAAAAATGTAAAGATTCTGAACTGGAACTATGGTTTTACCCAGCATCATACACAGGGCACTATTTTCAAACACGCTCCGGTAATTTATCAAGTGGACTATTGTACTGGCAATGCGCACGTGGTGGGTTCGAATCCCACGAAGCACATCTCAATTGTTATCCGTCTTTCTGTCCGTAATTTCTTTTGGATGAAAGAGTCAGATAAATGAAAGAAAGGCGAATTTATGTGGTCGAGACCCAGAAAAAGCCCACAGAACACACACAAGAATTAAAGTACCTCTAGAGTTTGAACAAGACCAACTTAAACAAGTTAAAATCTTTCTAAGACAATGTTCAGTGAATAAGAAAAATCATGAATCATAAAAATCTTTTTGAGTTGGAAGTCAAACGCAGTGAATGCATGAAGACCAACATTTTGACCAACAGATTTTTGGTTTAACTTATTTTTCGAAGTTATAGCACAAATTAGCCTATACTTTTTTGCCACAATTTCTAAATAATATATTCACGAAAGTATTTAAAATTACACGCTATTTGGTATTATTTTTAATATTTATATTAAATATTAATATTATTGAATGCTTATTGTTATTCTTGGGACATTTTCAAATCATCTATGCTATAGACATCCATTTAAACTGGATTGTCCGTTGAAAATGAGCATCTATAAAACCCTATAACTAAAGCTCCCTCTGAGTGGGCAGAACAGGTTATATGAAACACTGAGTAAAAAGAACAATCAAGTTGTGATTTAAACTGGAAGGTACCAGATTAAATTGCCAAGGTTATTTCTGTTTCGATAAAAAGAAGGGAAAAAAGGATATTGACGAAACGTTAAAAATCTTAAGTATAGGCCCGCGTCTTCTTTCAATGCTGACCAAAAATTACATTTAAAGACATAAAGATTTATTATGTATTTTACTGTACTTTCAGATTTTAATACGCAATAAAATTTAAAATACAGCGTGTATTTTCAAAATAAATGAAATAGTTTTGCAACGGTTCGTTAAAGGGCATGTGATTTCTGAATCAACATTGCAGTAAATGTTGTACATTTCGAATTCAAGTTAAAATTATTATGTTAAATAATGACGTAAAGAAACTATGGGCCGGCCCAGGAAGACTGGATAATTTTCCGCAACTGGTTCAATGAATAAAAGAGCCAAACATACTAAAAGCTATATAACTTGGAAACAAATCAATTGTTTTATATCATTCGTTTAATTTTAACCAAAAAACTTGTAAAACTTTTAAAATAGCCCATTAACAATAAATGTAAAAATCATTCTACACACATTCAGTTTTACCTGAAAGTAATAGAAAATGGTTCTTTCCCATTACACACCATTAAGATGTGCTTGATCTCATGCTAAATATAGCTATTTTCTCCATGAATTTAAGGATAACCATTTCGGTGAAAATTATACTTCATTCTTGCCAGCTGTGATTCTACCGTTGGTATTTTTATTACTGCGGTAATTATTAATGATGTACGTCGTGGTGGCATGCTCTTGCTCTTGTTTTATGGGCTTTTTATTCCGATTAATACATTGGATTCTTTCATTTATTTGCACCAGCGTAATGGACTTTTACTGTCACAGCCTTAAAATCCTGCGCTGGAATATTACGCATTTTTTTTTAATGATCGTCAGTATTTGTAGCATATAATATTGGGCATTTCTGTGCTGAAATCATACTGCTGCCGAGGATCAGAGTGATTAGGCTGTAACTAAAAGGTTTAGGGCACTGAATGTGAATCGGACAATCGATCTGTGGTCATACTGAAGCAAGAACAGATTCGGCGATTCATCATTCCAACAGATACCACCGCAAGTCCAAATAATCACCACCCTCATTCAAAACGACAGAGTTCCGTAATAGTCATTGTATTGACTACCGACTAGTCAACTCAAGTGGGCTTTACTGACATACCATCGATATACAAGTAGCCTATACAGTAGCACGAGATAGTATTATCCCAAGATTATAGTGCGACATGTAGACAGCAAGTGACAAAGGGAAGTATTCGCAATAGTTTAAAAAAGTGCAAAAACACAAAACAGTGCAAGTAGGGTGGGCGGGATTCATGACTGTACATATATGGCACCTGTATACATGCTACGTAAACAACATTAATGATGCAGTAGGCTATATATACCGAGCTAATATAAACAACTTCGATTTCACGTCTACCAGTAGTACAAGCAGTCATTAAAGAAATATATTTTAGATTAATGTAGAATTCATCAAGTGATGTATAGGTTATATGTACTGATGTCACACAATTGCCGGTCATCGCCCAGCGGATCTGTGCTGTCCAGTGAACCTTGGTGCTGATTAACGTAAAGCATTGATCTAGTGGGTTTATTTTTTTTAATTAACAGATTTCAGTGCTAACCTTGAATTATAATGCAAAGCACATTTTATTCAGCGTACATAGGCCTATATATAGATATATATACATATCGATCTAGCGATGTTGAAGCTCAGTATTGTTTATTAAACCAACGGCCCAAATTAAATACCCAAAAACCGTAAGGTTTCTTATTCGTACTATGAAGATTCACGAAATGCCGTCTTTACAGCAGCTAACTTTACTGGCATCAATATGGTCAATGAACGTTAACTACAAACTGTCTGTGGTATTCCAAGTTCAAATCAATCTGCACTGAATTAAAGGACACGAAGTATATACAAAGCTTTGTATGAAATTAATTAACCGCTAATGATCTTTAAATCAAGTGTTTGTGGTTTGATGAGTAGTGTTTGGAAGATTAAAAACAATATAAGCGACCTTTATTTGTTTTCATTTAGTAATGAATTACAACTGTTTTTGTTAGTAGTTCGTATAGGTACTTGTAGTAATAATTCTATTACCGGTATATTATTTTTGGCAGAAAGGGGAAATTATTGGAGGAGTGATTTAGTCCAGTAATAAGTTTGATAAAGGCAATTGTGACTCATTTTCCTTTATTGCATATTATTCATGTCCAGTGTTTCGCTGCAGTTTACTTTAGGCTTTGATAATCAAAGCATCTATAAACATTAGATATAGATAGATAGATAGATAGATAGATAGATAGATAGATAGATAGATAGATAGATAGATAGATAGATAGATAGATTATTGCGCCTCCTGTATTGTTATTCGACCTGTGTTTCCGTGTCACGTGTGTATTAGCGTATAGAAATAGCCTAAATTTGAAAACGGTGGCTTTATGCAGAGATTGTGAGTTCTAACAAGAATACAGACGACAGTATTGCTTTGGCTCCAACGTGGACTCTTACGGTAGAGGCGAAAAGGGTTCTGGCGAACTAATGATGTTAAAATGCTGCTCTATCCCAGCGCCTTAATTAAATGCATGGAAAGAACGAGCGAAGAACATCTGGTTTCAATCTACGTCCCTTTGATGGCATCAAGTGTTCTTTTCCCAGATCGGGGGCTGGGAGGTATGGGCTCTCCGTGGCGGCTTGGAGCACTGACTTCTTTTCTTTGAACCTATGGACCCTTTCTCTCCTGTCAAGACCCTCTCCCGAAGCAACCTAATCGTTGGCTCATAAAATATTCCAAAATGATTTGTACTAAAAGAAACGCTTAAAATGCATATATGTTTCTGATAGCGACTTGCTTATAGAAATTTCGTAAAGTTAAATAGTCGGCAGAACTGTATTTAAAAGTTTAATGCCATTTTTCTCGATGTGCCGTCAGGGTTAATTTCGGGTTTGATTAATTTCAGACATCACATGAATCATTTTAAAAAGTAATCTTTACTCGCTGTTTAATCGAAAAGTTTTCACAATTCTCTCATTATTCCGCAACACTTCTTACAACACAAATAATTCGGAAATCCTCATGGCCGCCACACTGTACATAAATTAGATAAAGATCTTTATTTAAGCCAAAATTATTTTTATTACACGTAAATTAATATGGGGTAAGGAGAGGGAAACAATCCTCAATTTAAATAGCTGTTGGAAATAACCTACAGCGAGCCGTCCTGATTAAATAGGCATAACAGTGGATGGATATAAGGTCTCCCTTACGAGACTTCTGGGGTCCTCCGTCCGGCTGCCAAGGGTCCTTAAATTCTTTAATTAGGGTGTTTCTGTATTGGTGGTGGTATGTTCCGTACTGTGTGAAAGGGAGGGGTGGCTTGTGATGGAAAGTGGCTCTGTAAAACGTCAGGAACTTCACAAAAGCATTGCCACGTAATTACAGGCTCCTATTAGGACGATCTTCCCTCCCAGGGGTCTTAGATTCTCATTTATTCAGCGTTCAGGCTTCCTCTGCCTGCCAGTTCGTGTCGTTTGAAGTGCCAGAGTCTCTTAAAACCATCTCAGTGAAGGACTCTTTCCAAAAGCAGTCCCTTTTCAGCCTTCCTCCTCTGAGCGTAAACTGAGAGCTTACTCACACGCGCATCTGTTAGACATCATCTTCTCCGCTGCAAACCTCCAGCCATTCATGAGTCGTGAGTCAACAGCGTTGAGAAGAAAACCTTCTCAGAAGTCTTCAGGGTGGATGGTGCCGAGCAAATGGTGAGCTATTCGGTTTTAGAAGAGTGGACAGCGTCTGTGGTGTGACATCCCTTCTCCAGAAAATCTCTGCGGCAAATAAGACCTAAATAAAGGGGAAAAAACCTTTTGGTTCCTGCTACGCGTCTCCCGTTTTGAAAGTTCAACAAAGCCTCTTCAAAGCTGAGAAACGTCAGTCCTAGCGGATCTATACAATTGTGGACGCTGTGCTTTGTGACAAAAGGGGTTCTTGTTGATTGGTTTGGCGCCATTATAGGTATTTTTTGTCTGAATGCGAGGAATAACTTGGCTGGGCTGCTATTATTTTCTTTACTATTCCGTATTCTATTTGCGTCATGACTTCTAGTTATGCACATGTAATGGACAGACAAGCTACGATATCCAGCCGCTTGGAGAGTCCGATTACAGCGAATCTGGAAAATCTACAGGCTAAAAAGAACTTCTCAGTAAGCCACCTGTTGGATCTGGAGGAAGCAGGGGAGATGGTTGGGGCGCAGGCGGACGAAAGTGCGGCGGAGACTGGGAGGAGTATGCTGGAATCGCCGGGGCTGACCAGCGGCAGCGACACCACGCAGCAGGAGAGTAAGTGCGAAGTGAGCTCCCGTGGTATGTACTCTTGGGGCCACAGTTGTGATTAACACTTTAACGCAAAGGATTGTCACATTAGCACATATATGTCAACCATTTGGCGCCGGCGGTTCTGACATTGTGTAGTAAATCAAACACGAAGGAAAATCGCGGACGATTGCGTGATTTATTTCTGCACAAGTTCTCTGTTGTTCGGGAAGAGAGGAGTTTTCAAATTTTAACCAAAGGTACGGGTAAACACGATCGTGTCATGTTCATTTTGGTGTTTTGTAGGACACTAATAGGCTATGTGGCCACAGGATTGCCTCCGAATACCATTGCGTTCAGAAGCAACCCAGTATGAGACCGTTCCAACAAAGCACATGTAAACTGGTTACAAAATACATTTCCATAAACATCTTCATGCCAATCGTAGTATAATCTGCGAATACGTTCACTACATTTTGTGCGGTGTGTACAGTAACGTGTACAAAATGTAAAGGTCTACAAGTGATACAGTGAAGATATCGAAAATACATTCCGTCAAACTGTAAAAGCGTCTCGAGACGTTTTTAAAAAGGAGTAAACGTACTCTTGAGTGTTGCGTAAAGTTCTAAAGATATTGCTTAATTATACCAAATCGATGCGAAATTAGGCGTTCGTGGCATCCTTTCCTTGAAACATGGAGTTTATGCAATCCATGATATTAATGCTGTGATTTCGCCGTATAAACAATCTAAGCAGTTGTCCTTTTAATCATTCGGATCGCAGCAGGTTTTGTCAGTTTTAGGGGTGGCGTTGCACATTTTCTGTCAGCAGCAGTAATATACGGTGTATGAAATTGCTAGGTTAAATTTAAGTGCAAACACAATGGCGGTACATCCTTAGTTCTCCCGTTATTCATACAGTATAAATATCAGTGTATACGTTAAAACGCCTTTATTAAATTTCACCGTAAAGTACAAATTAGAACGGACATGCTTTTTATGATTACTTCTGACAGGAGATCGTATACGAAGAGTATGGCCTAAGAGATGTGTAATTATGTCGTTTCATTTATCCTAAACTACTGTTAATTTAAACAGCTGAAGATATGTTTAGTTTTATCGGTAACGCACATGGAACAGATGACCTGTACCGACAATGGACATAAAACATCACTTAGGCTAGTTCTCGCTGGCGCACATTTCTCTTTACCCGTGAATATAACATCGCCGGTTGTCGCATCAGACTCCTAAAAATAAAAGGTTCCTAAATCAATCAGCAACTCCTAACTGAAAGAAAACCGGAGACATACTGTATACAGGGACTTTAAAAAAACGATTATATGTTATGTACAAGGAAAACTTGAATATAATTTCGATTTGCATAACAGAAAATTCCGCCTGTGGGTGTTTTAAGTTAATTTAAACGGCTTTGATGTCTTTATGAAGACATTTATGTCGAAATAGGCTAACCAATTATTACGCGTGTTATATCATATACAATAGCTCAATTAACATTCGAACACATAAGACTGCTTTGTAATCTATGCATAAATATTATTTGCGAAGGATATATTGTTCGAATATATTAGATGGGAAAATTTTTAAATGCAATATGCTGAGAACTTATATTAATACCAAAATAACCACAATTGGGCTATCATAGGCCTATAAGAAAGGTAGCGATGGAGCAGTACTGGGACACAATACAATCATCTATTTTAATTTATAATAGGAAAAACTACATTATTGCAGGCGGTTATAATATTTAAGATATAGGCTAAATGCACCATGAAATTCAACCGCAAATATTTTATCTACGCTGATGACATAACGTTTCTGTGTAGTGATTTGTTATCGTTTAATTGCGTTAATTACAGGTTAATTATAGGACACATGATCATAAATACATAGGGTCATATAAACAAATAGCCTAATTAAATATTCCATCAGCTGTCCGTATTTGTTTTCCTTGTGTTTACATCGGAAGTTAAAATCTGTAATACAATCTAATAATTGAAAAATGAAATTAAACAGCGGTTAATGTAATATTTAAATCTAACGGTCCATTTTAGAGAGCCCTGACTAGTTTGTAATGTAGTTATATGGGAAATATGAATTAAAATACATGGACATACATATTAAGTTTTCACAGATGTGTTTACTAATATGGAGCTACAGTATGGACATTTATATTCAAATATATTCTCCAGTTCTACTAATTTTTGGTTTTGTTGAAGGGTAAGTTTTGGACTCGACACAGGATATATAGGTAAAGAATGATAGGCTATGTATTACTTCATAAAAAGTAATTTATTTTAAGTTCATTTTTAAAAGATTCACTTTCTAGTTTAATTTTTCTAAATATATTTTAAAGGCCTTTCTGCTTTCATAGACAGTCTACGGTAGTTGCAACGTGATAAAACAAGATAGGCCTACTGTACATGGCTTTTAAAAGCGCAGAACGTAGCCTATACCAGAAAAGCTTAACCACGGTATTCGCCTCAGTGTATACTTGACTAAAGGTAGGTCCATTTAAGTATATTTATAATTGATTTGGGAATATTTATACTGTAGGTCCTAAGGCTTTCAAAGATCCGCTCACAAGTTCAATTCGTCTGAAACAGAAATCGTGAAAGACGGGAGATGAAGGTGAAAGTTACAACGTGAGACCGGTATTATATCGCGCAAAAGATTATAAATTTAAAGTGAAATATCGAAGCATACACGACACCCAACTTACCACCACTGACGTGGGCAGCAGATGCGGGTACTAATTAACCTAAAAAGAAAAAAAACACCGCGTAGGCTAATTAATGCGATAATGACGAGGTGTCAGTGACTTACAGCTCGCTTTGCGCTCCATCTAGGCCCGTTTATTTCCCGCTGCAAACACGTTGTGAATCCCGTTGGATTTAATTTAATCTAACGTAATATGTAATGGAAGGAGGCCGTAATATTTTTCTATTATTATTTTTTATAGTATTTAAAAGCGAGTTTACCACATTTCCAGTGAAAGTGCCTTAAAGGCATCTAGCACAACTGCCCGTACATTAATACACAATTAAAGAACAACTAAAAACAGGAATAAATGAAAAGGAAACGTCGCATGAATAATAGGCCCTATCATAGAAAGTAGACATTAACTCCATCCAGAAGAGGTACCATGTCCTCCGATTCCATTTATTTAACTTTTGTGACAAAAGAAAAAAAAAAGTTCTCATCTATTTAGTCTGTCAGCAGATTTTCATTTGCTTTGGTGTAGTGATTAATGTGCACAATAAAAGTATCTATTATGGTGCTGTGCCACCAGACTTCACAGGAAAATGCCTCTATGGGGATATATCCGCTGTCCTTGGGACGTCCATCGTGTCCCATGAAAAAACAGACATCTAACACTCCCTTTCGCATAGAAACTCGTCGTTTCCACGTACAAATAATACCGCGAACAATAATACAGTACGGGCGGATGCCCAAACAGAGAAATTGTACGGATTTTAAAATAGCTCGTATGTCTTCTGATGGTTAGTATGTAAAACAATTACGGTTAGCCTATATTTCCCTTTTCATAACGCTGTCAACCGTACAAGATATGAAAAGGCAATGCACTCAAAATACGTTTGATAAGCCAGACAAATGTATTAGAACCGTTTCAAGGCCTATGCTACAATAATACTCACTCCACCAGGTATCTATATTAATAATAGTCCGAATGCCCGTGCGCGTTTCCAGTTACTGATTAACCACTTATTGTCGCGGTGACCGCAATCCAATCCCAGGATGCTTACCTCGCACCAGAAATATGTATCATTCACATACTGTAAACAAGGTGTAGCTAGGTGTAGGCCACAACACAGGAAAAAATGTTTCACTTTGACCTTTTGTAGCAGGTTGCGTTTTTTAAAAATAAAACAGAAATTAATTCAAATACACCAATTGGTTTCAATTCATTTCGCATTGTGTTTGAAACTATTATTGTGTCATTCAGGGATATAAAAATTGACAGAATATCAAATAGATATGCCCACAAAAATCAATATCTCTTCACATTTATTTGTATTTCTAAATATCTTTCTCCTAATAATATATATTAACATTATACATGTATTGTGTATATAGATGTGTATAATATACTTGATCATTTATATGATAGGTGTACTTCTGTAAGTTTGGTGTTTTGAGCAGTGGTGGGTCAGACACATTAGGCCTCACAATCGTGTGGTTGAAGAGGAATAAGAAGTAAAAGCTAGGCGGGGTCCCTCACGCTGCCCACGGCAGGTCTAACCAGAGAATTCTGTCACACACGGAGGTGTACAGTATGCAGGCGGGTTTGTAAAGAAGGCAGTAAAAGTAATTACCTTCGATGGCTAATTATATATAATTTGTTCTTCTGCATACGCCCATGTCACTATGTGGGAATCAGACCTCAGGGAGTGCAGCTTGTTTTGCGGTCGAGAAAGTGACCGTGCAGATAACAAGAATGAAGCACGGCTCTGTTAGCAGCGGAGCGTTTACCTGCAAATGCCGTTCAAGACCGATGCGTTCCACAAGATTCCTGGCTCAGTCTGTGTCCGGACTTCAATATTACGGCCTATTACCGAGAAGAACTACGATGAAAGTGCTTCTGTTTTCAGGCCTGACAGCTGACTTGTGTGTTTACCGTAGACTGGAGTGATTCTCACTCCTGAAAAAAACTGGTAAAATTCAGGTGGTGATTTTGCAAGTTTATGTAACATTACGGCCAATTGGATTTATGATATTTTCTTGTGTGTGTGACAGGCATGTTTTGGTCACACATAATAACTGATTAATGAATTGATGCTTTAGTATACTTTTTTTTTTTTTGAGATTTCACGCATAGTTGTATAGCATTAGTAATTCACACATGTTTTAATATGGTTCTCCTGAAACTAAAAAACATGTTAAAAAATTTTATTATCTTTTTTCCTCTTTTGGGTTTGCCCTATCAGCCTATGTAATAAAACATTAACATGCTTGTTTTGATATTAATTTAAATGTTAGACTTTTGTTCAAATGAACGTGTAGCTTCCAGCTTTCCATGGCCACCAGTGGTCAAACTATGGTTTGGTTGATCATAAAAATGCATTTTAAAAGCGAAAACTAAAAGCCGTGGGCCAAACATGAGCAGACATATAACTCTGAGCTGCTTTTTTCCCAAAAGGCTCGCAAAAGCTCCTACTCAGACCTTCCTCTTGGTTTCTGGGATATCGTGGACTCAAGGCCCCACAGTTCAATGATGTGATATTATATTTCCAGCTATTGATCCTGATATGCTAGTTAACTCACTTCTAAGCTCGTCGGTCAAAAGAACATTTTCAAATGAAACTAGTAGGTTAATCCTAGAGTAGAGGGGGTGATGATCAGATGACCACAGCCATAAAGCCAGCAATGTTTTGATATATCCTGATGTGGGTTCCTTACTACCAAATAGTGGCAGGGATAAACATAACTCAGCTATACTACGACTTGATCACTGATAGCTTTAAAGGACGAGACAGTCAAAGATGCACACAACCAGAGAACATGACATTTGGCACTGCAGTAACATTTGTGAAAGAGGAGCCCAGGACCTTCCCTGAGATATGGTAATGTTGGTAGGGAGGGTATCTGGGTGGGGGGGGGGGAGGATAAAACACCCCTGATCAGTAACCAGATAGGCAGGCAGGACAGTGCCAAGAGAGGGGGGGGGGGCACGCTTCAGTTTTGCCTGCTTCATCGGCCTGTGCAACAAAGCGTGACTCCGCAACCTCGCATTCATTTCAGCTTGTGGTCTGTGTGTGTGTGTTGCACGTGTGTCTTGTCCCCGCATGCATGTGTTTGTGTGTGTGTGCGTGTGTGTGTGTTTCTGTGTGCATGCCCACAGATGAGCAGCTGAATGCAGAGGAGAAGAAGAAGAGGAAACAGCGCAGGAACAGAACCACCTTCAACAGCAGCCAGCTGCAGGCCCTGGAGAGGGTCTTCGAGAGGACGCACTACCCCGATGCCTTTGTCAGGGAAGATCTGGCACGGAGGGTGAACCTCACGGAGGCCCGTGTTCAGGTAGCCCCCCCCGCCCCGCATCCCCAGGTCTACCACTGTTACATGCCGGTCACGTCTTAGCACAGAGCGTCTAATAGGATTTAATGAACACTTCTGCAGAATATTTTAAAGCAGATTATGATGTTTAATTAATGTAGATGCAATAATGCGTTAACCACCAACACTCTTTATTTAAATCTCAATCCATTCCTTCTGACAAGACTTAACTGTAAAGTTTCCGGGCTTTGGATGTTTGCCCGTCCTTTTATGTTGCCATAGGAATGTTTTGCATCGGGATTATGCCTAGTTAAAAAACACACAAACACACACGCACACACACATCTGCAATTAATACTTACCAGAGCATTGCATAGCCTTTGATAGAAAGACTGTTCAGACTGTTCATTCCTGGGACATTACGTTACAGGACATTATGCCTCCGGAGGAACCGACTGGATTCGCTTTAATAAAAAGGATTTTATTTAGCTGGACTGCCTACAATCGGCTGTTTTTCTGTTGCGTGTAACGTGATTGAACACCGTGTCTCACTACACTGCCGTCTTGTTTTTGAAGAGCATAAACTGAGGAGATCCACAGGAGAATATGGCATTTTTTGTTGCATGAATATGATTGAGATTAATTCAGAGAGGACTTCAGTGGAGCAGTAGCTTTGGGATTGCTGATTCTGGAATTCCCTGTGGTTTCCAGGTGTGGTTCCAGAACAGGCGGGCTAAGTTTCGCCGGAACGAGCGGGCGATGCTAGCTAGCAAGAACGCCTCGCTTCTGAAGTCGTACTCCGGGGACGTGACGGCAGTGGAGCAGCCGATCGTGCCTCGCCCTGCCCCTCGACCCAATGATTACCTGTCCTGGGGCACTGCCTCCCCATACAGGTGATTTCCCACCAAGCGATTCCTGATCATACATCAACCAAATTCCACCCCACAGTCTCATAATCTTCCTGTCACATGTGACTTTTTTCTCTTTCCATCACGTCTGTTTTCTCGTGTCCACCTTTCACACATTTTCGCTCGTACCAGATGTTTTCACGTCTGTGAAAAACTGGGCTAAGCCTGCAGTCGGGGACTAAACTGTATGGAAAGTCCCACGATGACTACAACCATAAGCAGTTAGTCGATACATTTCCTTGAGAATGTGGGTGTTGAAAACTGGCTTTAAGATACTCGCTATGCTTACGCACCTTCTCAGAGTTCTCTGCTACATGATACACGCTAACAAACACAGGAAACATCGCGTGGGCAGGATTTTTTGTGCCACTTTTGACACTGGTTTGATTTAAAGCAATACTATGCAAAAGAAAAATAAAACGTACAACACTGTTAACCTGGCAAAAGCGATGGAGTCAGTCAGCTGGAAGCCTCCGCTGGCGTGAGCGCATGCTGTGTTTTTCTTCATTTCCACTTGAGCAGAAACATGCCTGGCATGTGAAATCACTAAAGCAAGTCCTTGTGCAGACCTAACACATGCATTGCAATTTATGTGTTGTTAAGCTGCTATCCAATGCCCGGGGGAGCGGCTATGCCAGTTCCACAGAAAATGCTGCCCAATGAAAGCAAGTACTCTTTCATTTTTTTCCCTACCTGCATCGTTTGTAGGGCTGCCTTGCTGGCGGCTCTCGTTGACCTGCACGTGTCGCATATAAATATTTGACGGTTGTCGTTATTTTCATACCAGCGCTATGGCTACCTACCCACCCACATGTGCCAACACCAACACCACCCAGGGGATGAACATGGCCAACAGCATCGCCAACCTCCGTCTGAAGGCCAAGGAGTACAGCTTGAACCAGGTGCCCACAGTCAACTGAGGACAAATGAGCAAACCCCGAACTCCAAGGAGGACCTTCGGGCATTCTTATCGAGAAGATCCACACGGGCCCACTGCGGGTAACCAGCCAGCCCATGGGATTTACAGCAGATGCTTCTCCCAGATGGACATCATGTTATTGATGAATGTATTGTATTATTGAGCAACCGATGGGTTAGAGGAAGACTGAGTCAAAAGTGAAAAAAATTTTGGAATGCTTCAGTCTGAAAATCCAAAAATCACTTGTAGATCCTATTTAGCCAGTGTAAAATGTTCTTGTTTAATTGGCTTAAGATGAAGAAAAGTGAATTCATTGACAAGGCAGTGAGACATCATTTCCTTCAACCCGATAAAAGCTACGGAAAGTCTTACGGTCCAATTGTGAGCACCATCTGAGAAGACAGCGTCCATGCTGATGATGCTTCCGAAGACCATCCAGTCGGATCACCATGGTTTTCCGTCTGGACAATAGTGCCCTTCGTCTCGTCTGTCAGCACCCTGTAAGAATTAACGATAAAACTCTGCCTCACAGAAGCAGCAACTCCCAGGGGTCTGGAATAACCTAAAAGTGGGCTTCATCCAGGACAGACACTGGGAAGTTATAAAATTCTTTTCATATCGTTATTTGATTTTGTTTGATTTTGTTTTATTTTCCCACTTTATACCACTGACAAGCAAAGGTCGTCAATGCATTTTGATTTATATAACATACACTATTCAACTAATGCCAGCTAACATTACTTTTGAAACCAAATCCTAGTTGCTATTTCTCTTTGTATTTTATCTTTATTTGTAACAGAAAATCTTATATAATAATAAAACGCTGTTGAAACAACAAACTGGAATGTGCTAAAGTTTAGAGCGTATTCAAAAAGGTGATGATAAGGTTTTACAGACTATGGAACAGGATAATAGAAACGTTATATTTTCTTTAGAAAAATGGTGATTAGTTGCTATGATGTACTTTTGTTTAAATCTAAAGTGTTACTTTCTTGAAAGATCATCACCAGGATGATTCCTGGCAACGGTGATTCCATATTTAAGGAAAAATCCCATTACTATGAATTTCCCCTAGGGAATACATTGCAATGTATCCTGCTAATGAAGAACTCTTTGGAATTAATATTTAAGAAATAGTTATGATTGATTGATAAAGTCATTAGGCAGTAATCATTACTGATTCATTTCATTTATAGTCATGGCTGATTTATCTACATTTCCATAAATAAATTTCCCACTTTTTTCTGGTGGCCACGTGTCTAGCATTCAAGTTCAGTATTTGACAAATAATGAACAATGTCAATTTAAAACTTTACACCGGACCAATGAAACAGTCTCCCTAACTGCATCTAAGAAGAACTAGGGAGTCCAGACTTGACTTTATAAGGTACCACTCGCCTTTCATCTGCTTCATGTCACGCCATCCTGAGACGGGCCAGACGGCCAGCTTGTCTCCGGTGGCACACGGAAAGAGGGATGTCAGGCCCTGATGTGAAAAAGGCCCCCGACAGTATTCCTGGGCCCTATACATGGACCGCTGACAGCTAGCAGACACTTTGAGTTGACTCTGTAATGCAGATGAAGCAAAAAAAAGAAAACTAACAGGTTTAGGAATTTGTGCAAACACCACTTAAGGATTTTATTACGCCAAGAGGGACTTTCCCACAAAAGTTGCACAAATCCTTCTGCTGGGGTTTAATGATTTCTGCGGAACTTTTAAGTGTTTACGCAGGAAACAATATTTTATGCGCAGGAAGTCCTTGTTTTTGTTTTTTTGGCGCCCCCGTGCCCCAGTGTAGTTTAATCGCTGCCATAACAGCATCCCTCTGCCGACACTTCTTTGGTTTTGCCGCTCGCGTCTGACCCGTGCGAGCCCCCGCGTCTGACCCGTGCGAGCCCCCGCGTCTGACCCGTGCGAGCCCCCGCGTCTGACCCGTGCGAGCCCCCGCGTCTGACCCACGGACTGGGCGTCGGCAGGGGCGCTGGGGCCAGGAACACTCTCCCTTCATTACCTCGTTCCCAAGGAAATGCCAAATCAGGTTTCACTCCGGAAACTGCTCTGATCTGGATGAATGATGTGCTCAGTAAAGGAAAAAAATAGGTTCATTCATAAAAATAATGTGCATGTATTTATACATGTACATTGATATGTAGACATTGGAGATAAATTTGAGTGTATTGTTGAGTGTATATTGAATAAATGTTTCCCTAAATTGTGTCCAGAGGAAGAACCCAAGGAAAATGATATGTAATTATATTTATAGATTTATTTCCATCTTCACCTTTTCCCTTACATTATTGTACTTGTCATAGACTAATTATTAATCCCCCGTAATATATATTCCACAATCAGTGAAAAAGTATCGATGACTTTGAGTCAATACCTTATTTACTGAAAGCAAATATCATTGCTATTTTTACTGAAGAATGAATGATTTTGGTTGCCAATTGGCACTTAATTTACGCAAATAAGATGTAAAATATATGACGCAATTGAGGCCTTTTCAGTAGCTTTATGCTGAACAGCAATCCAAATCACTAGGTGTTTTTTTTCTGGATTTCTTTCACGATTGACTGCACTTCTTACCACGCCTTACGCATCTGCATTATCGTCATTCTGCAAATGCAACTTCTGTCTGTCGCGGGTTTGACAGTCGTGGCAACGATAATTAGCTTTTGATGATCAGCTTGCTTCGGCTGTCTGTATATCGAAGAAATGAAATGATCTCAAGGTCACTGCATTCCGAGAAAACGATCCAAAGGTAAGTCCAGCGGTGCATGTTTGAGGTGGTTGTGGGGGGGGGGGGGGGGTTAGGGGTTTGCGTGCAATCATTTCAGGAGCAGGGATGAGAAGCCCTGACGCGCTGCGCCCAGCGCCGAGTCTCACCTTTCACGACTGAGCCGGCAGACCTGAAGTGCTTCCAGATGTGTGCTGCCAGTGACCGGGGGCCACGGCCCTCCATCAGCCGTGACAGCGTCCCCTCGGACCGGCGGCTCCCTGCAGCCGCACATCTGGAGCCCATTAACGAGGAGACGCCAGTGCTGGCGCGAATATCGCCGTTATCCTTTTATTTAAATATGCAGTTCGGCTCGCACTGCCTTAACTTCCAAAGCACTGAATAAAATCATTTTACACACAGCACACAGGAACTAATCCTGAAATTATTTCACAAAGTATTGCTGAACCCTGCCGTTCAATAACTGCCACAAATAAAGAGAATGGTTATACGTCCCTATTATGACTCAGGTTCTCCAGATGTTCTCCAGAAAAAAAAAAAGATTAAACCCATTTTAAAAAGAAATAAGGCAGTTAATAAAAGACTAAAAATACTACGGACAACCTTAATGCAACGATGCATAAAGCTCAAATTCCCCAATGGCAGCCAAAGAAGCTGGATGGGATTTTAAAAAGCGGTTAATTGTGCTTGATATATATTTTATTTGCCTTTATTTCTTTTCTAAAGCCACTTTCTTTGCTATGGCAGCCACTTGGATGAAGCTCAAATATTTATAAGATCACAGAAACCTTATTAATGACCAACCTTGGATCCAACAGCAGAAAGGAAGAAAAAAAAAAGAAACGCTGATGGAACTGAGTGAAATATTGCACAGCTGTTAGCAGTGTGTGGTAAAAAAGAAAGACCGAAAATATTCCGAGCTGCAGTTGAGGAGGGAAAAAGAAGCGCTTTTCGCAAACTCGCTCTACAGAACATCCCCAAAGCAGGTTTACATTAATACCGGCGGCCAGCGTGACAAAGGGAAAGCAGAACAGAAACAACGAGGAAGGTGGCTTTTTGTAACAGTCAATGTTTCACAGCTCACGGTGATCTCTCAAGGTCTAGGGGTGGGGGGGGGGTGCGTCTGGGCTGCAGTATCTGTACTGCAAACAATCTGAGGGCAGCAGACACATCGTCAGAAATATAAGAAAAGCGTTTCTCAAACATGAGGAACAAGATGAAGGAACGTGTACTGCTGCACTCAAGGGATGGGATCAACTAGGCTTTACTCACTCACACACCGTAACAGAAATTAAAACAGGAATAGTTCTCATGAAATCCCAAGACGGCAAGGAAGGTCATTATATATATATATATATATATATATATATATATATATACACACACACACACACAGACACACACACACAGACACACACAGGCTGTATGTAGGCCTACACCAAAACACAGAAACACACATGGTCATCAACCACAAAGGGTTTTCCTGCTTTCCACAGTATATGCCTATGGCTGGGAAAGTGAAGCAATTAATCTACTTCTTCATTATTTGTTAATATGTTCTTGGTCTCTTGTAGGCCATATGTACAGCTTGTTTTAGACTGACAAACATACCGTAGAATGGATAGATAACACATTTCCAGCCCATCCCGCACTGCACTCTATCTCAGCTCATAACTCACTCTCCAGTGAAACCAGTGATGTAACTGCGGGATGCGGCCACTTGTGCTGATGTCATAAGACCTTCCACCTTCTCACTCTGCAGTTTCCCTGCACATTCTGTCAAATAAAGCTAACTATCATGATACAAGTATTTAGGCTTTGTTGGCCGACTGTTGGGAAGTTCTGTTCTCTCGACCATTACTGCATTCTAAATAGAAATCATGGGAGCCAAAGCAACACACATCAGAGCCACTACCACTGCATATCCGGTGATAGATTTACATGGTATATGTAAGCAATACTGCAACCCTCACCAGAGAAGATGCAATGATATGTAAGTAATATTCTTGGGTTACAGCTAAGGGGACTCCAGAATTGATTGGTGAATCTAAGCGGTTAGAATGCTTGTTTTTATGAACCCCAGAATTAATGGTGCATCACAGAGACAGTCAATAACGATGGCTTTACATTTCTTTTAAATTTAGAAAGAAAGATTGTCACACAAGACAAGAATTAATATTTAAGCAACAAAGCTGGATGGTAGGATTTTACACACCATGCTAAAGCGCGCGTTGTAATGACCGCGGAGAAGCAGCGCCCGCCGAAGGCCACGTGACGCTCCTGGCAGCCTGTCAGGCGCAAGGCGCACGGCGCGCGCTCTGCAGTGTGCGCGATCCGAGGCGAGGTGGAGTTCGCGTGGCGGACACCTATGTCGATCGGTGTTAGAAAGAATAAGAAGCATATAAGGAAGAATCTAAGGGCAACATAATTGTAAGACCAGCAAAAATAATGGAAGGAGATTACTCTGAAGCAGTCCTGAGTCAGCCCTATTGCGCTGGCTTCATCTTTCATGACCAGCCATAAATCAGAGGCTCATTTCCCTAAAAGTATTGAGTTCACTACATGATGCCTACGCTGCTTTTTTTTGGGGGAAAAAACTTTTGGGAAGCAGTCTTTGCTGAGACAGCTTTCTATACCTAACTCTAAACATTAAATGTTTCTCCTAGAATTGAAATGCAAAATGATTCCCAGCTTCAGCGCTAGCAACTGGTTTAACAAACAACGAATAACGTCAGTCGGACCCTTCAAACAAATCAACTTTAACTCTCCGCCGCCCCCGGAGTGGCAGATTTCCGCCGCTGTATAGTTTAAGAAGATTTAAAAAGACTAAATCGCTCAGGTAGGCCTAGATTTCTGCTGGAGACATTATTAAGGCTCGTCAAAGTATATCTTAAGCCCTGATCCAACCATGAATGTATGCCCTGCATTGTCTCTGTCCTGGTAACTCATAATCCGCATTTATTACCATGACAAAATGGCGTCATAACAAATTATTATTAACTGCCTGGGTGACTGTCTAACCAGGGTATTTAATAATTTCTTGTCGCGTATTCGAATGTGTATGTTGCTTTAAGCTTTATGGCATCACCCAAAACAAAGGGCTTCTGGAATACAGAAAAGACTATCAAAGGTTTTCCACTTACCAAAATGTGCAAAATTAACATGAACTTGCTCCGCAGCCAGCTGTCACCCCACTGACAGTCGCTGTACCTATAGTGCAACCCTTGTGAGGGGAAAAAATAGACAGACACCGACGTGGATTGCTGTAAATTATTCAAGAAGCCGACGAATTATGGGAAATTTAAATATCGGCTTTGCTTTGACAGACCATTACTTGTCAATCTAATTTTCTTTATGTCTTCACGGATTGTGGAAACGGGCGGATTTGATTAACCTCAGCACTTAACTACGAGTAATTTGATTTTCTTCGCTTGCTGACCTCCTGACTCGCGGATTTACGGATCATTTAGGGTGTTATGAAGAGGCGGAAGGGCGGCCCCGGATTATAACCTACAGGAGAATGAAAACAAGTCATAAGTGCCGCGATAAATATCACTTTTAAACATGGACAGGGCTAAACAAAACGTAAATTTGTAGTAGGCTAGCTGTAGAATGGAAGTATTAACATTAATTAACATTAATTTCCCTCTGGGGCGTAATATGTTGCCTCTGATTTATTCGATATTCTTGTAGGCTATATAGAAACGCTCTCTCAGTGATGCATTAAGAGTAACTCATTTTTGTAATTAGGCCTATTGCCTAAGGTTGGCTGTATTTCAAGCAAAAGTCACATCTTCAATGAGCATCTCTCTAAAATATTTTAAGTTGGCTTTCTAAGGTAATAAAGGCAGTCACCACACGGTCGTATAACGCAAAGAAACACCGATGCCGTTATTTGCTTCGTTATACAGCGTAACAACCACAAGTTCCCATCTATCGAAGACGATGCGAGTAAAACTTATAAATTATGAAAACTCTAAAGGTATACAATTAGAAGCTATAGTTTCCATAATATTAGAAATTATAGAAGCTATGAAATTCTAAAATTTGATCAAACTTTAATTTAACATTTAGTTAGACATATGTAGCGTGCGGCCAGTAAGTACCACGGCTTGATTGATTTAATCCATTTAAAACGCAGGGCAGATCTTTATCTATAAATGCTGGAATAACATATGGAGGAGGCAGATTTGAAACAGGTATTATTATCAAATATTGTGCGAGAGCAAATTCATTCCAGCCGTCGAGTCCGCCAGCGAGGTTTGCGTTTAAATGTAACTAATGCCAGTGGCGTCACATCACAAGCACCATTATTACAAAATAAACGCCATAATTAGTTCAATTATGGTTTCAGTATCTGAATGAAATATTGTTATACTTGTTATACTTAACCTCTATTTAAAATTTATTATTATTATTGTTTTACTTTGTACTTCAAACGCTAAACTATGCAGGAATATTTGATTAACGGATATCTAATTTACGGCTGCCGGTGGTTTTATTTTTTAATTCCATATGGGATAATAAAAAATATATATATTTCATGCATAATGCATCCTGATTTCCTGCAAATGAATAATAATAGCATTGTAAACACTCGTGAAGTATGTCACCTTCTTAAATTCAGATTTCCATGTATGAATAATGAATATTATGGCCAACATAAACAGCCCATATGCGTCCAGCAATAGCACAAGGAGACAGACAGCGTTGTAAATTTATATGGTGAAAATGGCAAGTCTCACACGGAAGACAATTTACAAATGTTTGTCTTGTATTTCTTGGTGCAAATAAATACAGCAGAAACGCTGCCTCACTATTCGATGATTTTGGGATCATTAACACAACTGACCCCGGGCAAAAGCCAAGAGAGACCCTTTGGGATGTCATTCTATCAAATGCACAAAGAGAACAGCGGAGTGAAATTTACCGTTTCAGTACAAGGGCATCTATCCATCCATCCACCTCTCAACTGACTTTCTCTTTGCAGATGTATTTTATGAAAACATTAACTGCAGCCATCGATGCCCATTATGAAAATGTTATGTCTACATCAATTAACATAACAGTGTGGCAGATTGTCATGCCAATAACAGACAATGGTTATTAGTGAGAAGTAAAAGTGATGTGAAGTCTTTGTGAAGTATATCCTTGTAGAAAATATGGGAGGTTTATCCTAAGTAAAAGACAATCCTTCTCTGAATTTTCTCCCTGTACATTAATTGACAGAATGCTTTTATTGCATCACAGAACATGAGCAGTAGCAATAGGCCTACCAAAATCCTTTAACAGAATATTACTTTTTAAAAGAAAACTTTGTTTTATGCTAGGAAAAACAATGTTCACAGCATCTTAAAATGTTTTATTTTTTATTGTAACATTCTTGCATATAGCATTGGTTCATGCCTCTCTTCAGGGACCGCAGAACCTTTCTGAACAAGGGAGAGGGAAGCATGTATACACTTATCTGTTTGCTATTGATTAACTCAGCTATAACCTTTTATGTTATAAACATGGGTATAATTCAGGATTTTATTAGCCTAATAAAGTTTTGTCAGTTTGCATAAACTTAGTTTGTTTGTAGGTAGGCCTAATTTTTTTCGTAAGTATTCATCACTGGTGACTTAGCCGCTTCCGTGGCCCCTGTTCACTTTATAAAATTCTTACATAATTCCCCTCATAGCTACGTTTCAAATTTTATCTCAGGGCCGGCCCTGGCTGTTCCGGTGCCCTGTGCGAGATGTATGAGGCTTCTATCTTGCTAGCTTGCGTCTGTTTCACAAGTAGTAAAAAATGAAATCTAGTCTAAAGAACTGTAATGTTTCAGGATGCGACCAGAGGTATTTGTCCTGAATTTTTTCACTCACTCTTTTGCATCCCCTTAATCACATGTAGGCTGTGTTTCATCTAACTGCACTGTTTCATACTATATCTTACGGCAGCTTTTCATACGCTACCTTATCTGGCAACTTCATACTTTTAACATTTGCATTAAAAAAATAGCAAAAGTTGCCGAACACCATATAATATATGCCCAATTTAAAAGCATTTTTTTATGTGCTAAAAGAATGTTTTTGCCCAGACACAACAAACAAACATCAGTTAGGCCTATTGCGTCCTCACTCCAGGGGAAGACAGCAGGAGTACTGTAATCTGTCGCTGAACTCCCCACAAATTACTTTGGATTGCTTAACGTTGTGCTCTGAATGTTACTATTGGAAATGAGGTTCAGATTTAAGCTAATTAAGGAAACTGGTGGCACACTTCACAAACACAAGATCAGGCTGCTGTGCCAAAGTTAAATATAATTAAAGCCTACATTTCAGATTATCATGATTTTCTCCGCATTTCAATCTGCTAAAATTGCAGTAAATTCTCTTTAACTTCAATATTGCTCTCCTTACAGAGCTAATCTTTATTTTATCTTACATATGAATTGTGTTTGTCTTGCACATTCCGTAGATTTATGTACTTTACGTTCCAGCAAAGTCAGTTTAAATGTACTTATAATAAACTGTACTGTTAATAAACACGTGAGTTAGCACTTCTGAGCGCTACATACAGCAGTCTAATGACATGGGCTAACTCTGTGTCATCCGCAGGTAATGTTGTTTAAGCTGATTTTCATCCCTAAATTTTTTACCATTATTATTCATCCATCCATCCATTGTCCAACCCGCTTATCCTACTGGGTCGCGGGGGGGCTGGAGCCTATCCCGGAAGCAATGGGCACGAGGCAGGGAACAACCCTGGATGGGGGGCCAGCCCATCGCAGGGCAACCATTATTATTAATTATTATTATTAACCATTATTACTAAATTATTAATCATCACTAATTAACATCCTTGAATGAACTATTAAATTAGTCTAACACAAGCCTAAAATGAAAAAAAAAATTAATGATGCTAAACTGTGTTTGTAAAGGAATATGTGTTTTAAAAATGGTGTAAACTATACCTGTTAGGCATTGTGGTAGGTTTGTATGAAGTTCATATGTTCCACGTCTCTCTTAATCAACTTGGAATTAATTAGTAATTAACTTAATTTGGATACTTCCATAATTCAACTAGCCTGATTATCCAGCTGCATAGAACACTTTTGCTACCAAACAATTTAGTGACTCAGTAAATCCTGGAAAGAACCGAAATACATCAATCATTTTATGAGAGAAAAACATTTTATTGTGGTTTTGTTTGTTCATTTAAACAGATTTAACTCACACAGTCACATTGTTTTTCACATTTCATATGACATCATTTGTAAGTTGCATGATTAGCAAAATAAAGGACAATGAATATAGTGGAATATTTCTCATAGTCCTGTTTACTTCCACAAATGCATAGTTTAGTCATTCAAACAAACGGTATTTTTTAAATCCTTCCTTAAGCCTCCATTTAAATTAAAACAGAACATTTGTAAGAGAAATTTAAGAATTTTAAGTTGTATATTTTGGACTACATTGTAAAATATAATCAAAATTTTGTTTTTACTAGCATTCTTTGTGGATGTGTGTTTAAATTTCAAGGCAGTATAGCGTTTTCTCTGTAGTAGATTTCTCTGTAGGATATTCATGCCTGCCAGTTGACATCCTTTCCCTGCTATGTACCGTAGCATTTGACATATTTTCCTTGCATTTGCATAGAATCTTCCTGGTACAGTATAATCCCGTTATAGTGGACTAGCTTATAACGGAATATCGTCTATAACAGACGAGGTCTATATAGGTCCCGGCCGTGCGCATTTAAGAACATGCAGAAAAAGCACCGGATATAGCGGATTCGCATATAACGGAATTTCGCTTATAACGGACAAACAATTTACTCCCCAGGGCCGCTTTTTATTCGGCTAATATGGACAGGCGCGTGGCGTGCCGCTGATATCCAGCGCAGATACGAAATCGGGATTATTAATAGTCACGCATCTGGTTAGGTAAAGTTGGATTACAACATGTACAATATAATAATCTATACCACAAGTGTGTCAGCTGGGGTGAGGCATGAGTAAATGGTGTCCTGTAGTTGTGTTCTGGCCATATAGCAACTCTAGATATAACGGATTTAGGATATAACGGTCCCTTAAAGTCCGTTATAACTGGATTTTACTGTATTCCAGTTTCCTCCCATAAACCAGAGGAATCCTGTTCCGTTGAGCATTTCATCCTGAATTCCTTGTGAGGTGTGCGCATGTTACCCAAGGTAAATCTTGCTACTGTACACTGAGCCCTTCATTAAACATGCAATAGCTCTATCATTGATGGGTGAATGGATGGATTGAAATCATGGGCGTAGGAAGTATAGGGGACAGGGGGGGACAGATTCCCCCCACTGTGAAAGTGTGAAAAATAAGTTATATAATTTATATACAGATACTAGTTTCTCAGGGACTTGAGCTGGACAGTAACACACGCACATTAGTTAGCAGAGGTGGGGATTTCAGGTCCAGAGAGTACAAATCCAGACCAAGATTTTGTTTCAACCAACCAGTTGAGTATAAAGAGTCACAGGCACAGAGTACTCAACTGGTTGGTTGACACATCTGTCAGCTGTTATAACCTTGCTTATACCATTTCTGGATGTCATTTACTCTTATAATGAGACTGAAATGGACAGCATAGATGGACAGAACTCACACCCACTGGACCAAATGCTCTGTGTGATCTCAGATGCAAAATTCCCCTCAACGGTCAAAGTTATGTCCAATTCAGAATCTTTATGAATGCTACATGGAAAGCAGTTTAAGATAACTTATTACAAATTTACTTTTAAATTTACAGAGAAAAATGAATGACAGTTGCCGGTTTTATTTGGGTTAAAGCCAACCACAAGCATCTCGACTAGCAAATGAAAACTTCCACTGTACTGTGTTTAATATGGGGCCAAATTTCACCTTTTTTTTCTCTGGAAAACTCCATGCCTTGAAAATAACTTCTGTTCAGGCATCAGTTACGCCACAATATTCCATTTCATGTCATGTTTGTTGAAATTTCCTGAAATGATAAATTTATAAACCTTGTGATTCAAATCATGCTCTGGCGTTAATATTTTAGTCGAGGGATATCTGTCATTTGTCATGTTGAACTGGTTTGCAAAACTCTTAATGGTGGGTTTATACTAAAATGATATTTCCTGAACTTTGTTTGAGTTAAAATTGTTTTTGGTCTGGTATAGCAGTGTTTTTAATTGCATGCTTATTTTTTATATATATATTTCTAAGCTCTAACTTTACCCTTCAGATGTCAAATTTCTCAGTTTACTCCTTGGCTGGTGTTAGGACCAGTCCCTGCCTTGTCTGTGGTCTCCCCGTTTGGCCAGCAGGTGTCGCTAGCCATCTTGTCCTTTTCTTTGTGTTTCTGTTGGTCAAGCACCCATTTGTGTCCCTAGTGTGTTTTCCCATATTCCCCGGAACGCTGCTTGACTGAACAGGCAAAACGGGCAACTGAGATCAGTCTATCCCTACTGTCATGGGTTTTGTTGTATTTATATTTCTATATTGATTAATGGATATTATGCTTTGGTCCTTGATTAACCTCACTTCTACCTAATTTTGTTGGTATGTCTTGTTTCACCCAAATTCCCAGTATGTCCTAGTGTTCAGTTCCTAGTGTTTACTTGATTATCCACACCTGTTTCTCGTCTAGCCCTCGTTATCAGCATGTGCCTGCCCTTGCCCTCTGCTGCTGTCGGTCATTGTGTTTGTTTCTCACTTTGAATGTGAAGGTGTTCGTGCCGCTTCCCTCAGCCGTTCCCTGTTTTTAGCCGAGTCTTTGTTCCTTCTTGTTTAGCCTTCCTGCTTTTCATTTTGACCCCTCCTGGTCCCTTTTTGTTCCCAGTTCTGTCAGGTTCTGTTTATATTAAGTCTCCTCTTTGTTGCCAAGCCACTCTGTGGATCATCCCTGACCATGCCCTTTGATAGCAGGCAACTATTTAACAGCTTAAGTGTCTCACTTAAGGGCACAATAGCAATACTTCCAGATACCTGAACTGCTACTTCATACTGCAGCCCCTTACCAGCTACGGCAAAAACAGCAAACAGCTCAGAATGTTTCTTGTTGATTTATTAAAGTTAGTAAATATAATATTAGAGAAATAAACATGCAGGCCGCCTTCTGAGGCATCTCAGAGCATGTCCCTCTGCTGCTGTTTGTGTACGTGGTTTGGCGCGGGGGTTCAGCCCACACCGGCCACTCTTCCAAAGCGTGTTTCTTTGCAGAATGGAGTAACGGCACTAGTCCCCGGTGAAGCGGCGGGCGGCGGCATGCGGAGACGGACAATGTAGGCCCCAGTGGATCCGGACTCGGTGCACCGAGGGGAGCTGAGAGGAATGTGGCATATTTCCCTTCGTGAGTGTGGCTCCAGACTTCTCCAGTACCTATCCCCAGCAGAGAGATCTGTCAGTTAACCCAGCCGAAGGAAATATTCATTCAAACAAGCAAAAAGCGCCAAAATACACCGGGGTTGTCATGACACTTTCAACCAGATCGGAGACGGATTAGGGTTCTGGCGATGAAAGAGCCTTGGTTATTACACCCCCCCCCCCAAAAGGAAATATGTTTATTGTAGAGTAAGGAAAGAGGGCAGCCAGGTCTCTAAAACACCTGAACCTAAGTGACCCCCTTTAGTGCTTAAGGCGTAACTGGAGGTAATTTGACTGGGAAGCAGAGTTCTGAGTATCTCATATAGCTCATTATGCGGGGGGGCACTTCTCAGGGGACTCGGGCTGTGATGTTTATTTTGAAAGGGTTAACCAAGCGACAACCTCTCAAAAAAAGCAGCAGTGTGACTGCTGATGAATGAGGTTTGCGGTGGTTCTCAAGCGTGGTTCTCGAGCGTGGTCCCAAGGTCCGACTCTGTGAACCCAGTTCGGTTCCACCCGAGCTTTTAATTTAACTTAGATCAAATCATTCAGAGATACAGTACATTTGTCAGTGTAATGATTTACAGCCCTTGGCCCATGAACCGTTAGGCAACTGAGTGATCAATTAATCTTTATTTGGTAAATATTTGTCTGCAGCACTGTATTTCCATCCATCTTCCATATCCGATTATCAACTACTGGGTCACAGTGAGCCCAAGCCTTTTCCAGGAAGCACAGCATGAGGGACACCCTGGATAAGATGCCAAGGAATATAGAGACTCCATGCGCTCAGAGCTGGGACCGCGAATGGAGCCTCTATTCCTGGATGTGGACGGCTGTATTGCTACCCACTGAACCACCATGATGTAACACTTTTTTTGCAATGCCTAAGTAAAAATATATAATTGTAAAATATTTCCTGTGATTTTATACCATCATAAATAGACCCTCCTAAATTCTTAAATCTTGAATCTTTATTAATATGACATTAACCTACATAAATAATCTGAAAAATCAGACCAGTGAAATTCTGAGTAAAAACTACATACTTCAGCTGGGATATTTGATTCACTAAATGGTTGAGTTCTTGTGGTTGTTTTTACACCTGCCAGCTGACACAGTTTGTTCAAAATAGGGTGTACTGTATTTCATGCTGGTTTTCATTATACAGTGTTTAAGGTCTTGTATACACTAATTATTTCCCTTGATTTGGCTTAACTTTCACTCTCAGTTCTCTGGCATGCTCATAACTGAAAGTGCTGGAAGACCCTCAAATACTGTTGCTTACCAGGGAAAACAGATTGAACTACTCACAGAACATTCAAGGGAATTTAATAAAGGATGCAGTCTTTAGTTGTACCACTAGATGGCGATAAAAGTTTAAAAACATGGACACAGGCACACACACACACACACACATTGGTGTACCTATCTAAATGGGGACCTATTAATTTCTATGGAAAAAAACCCTAATTCCAGTTATGACAGCCTTAACCCCTACTCAGCCCTAACCTTAACTATAAGTAACCAAACAAAATAAAGACTTTTGGCATTTTTACTTTTTTGATTGCAGTAACAGTTTTTTTTAATATAATTTTTATAGAATCCCCCTGTAGGAACCAAAAAATATCTCCACAAGGTCAAAATAACATTTTCTTGTCACATAGTTAACATGACCACGCATACACAGAGCGGCCAGAAAAATTGTAAACAGAAATGCAAAGTCTGCTGAAATGTCATTGGACCAACACAAGCATCTAGTGTGCCATATGGAACAGAATGTAGTGGTACGTAAAATGCAGATGTGCTCCGTAAATCTGGTGAACTGAGTTGGTTAGAGCGTAGTGCTAATAACGCTAAGGTTGAGGGACTGATCCCCTTTGGGCTACACTTTACTTCAAGGCGAGCTGTGTGACCCTGGGGTCAGGCTGCCTAAAACTGACATGGTCCCTGGGTCAGCAGAGTGGCTTCACGTTTGGGTGCTTGAGCAGGTCCCTTAATGTCTAGCTGCTATAGAGACTGTCTGACCCCGATTCTTCAAAAGTGTGCACTGCTTTTAATAAGAGCATCTGCTAGTTAAATAATAAACCCCATGTAGCTGTTAGAATACACAGTATTTTCCTTTTGACTCAAACTGGGTGATAAAGGAGTGTGAGTGGCAGCACTATCTGACTAACCACTCATGGCTGGATGAAACAAAGCAATGCTCCAGCATGAGCTGCAGATGATCATCTGGTATCATTAAGTATTTATTTAGCAGTTGCTTTTATGCAAAGTGATGCACATTTTTTATTTTTGAGAAAGTAATTGGGGGTAAAGGGTCTTGCTGAAGAGCCCACAAGTGAAATCTCAATGCCAATGCAGGGATTCAAACCAACAACCTTTTGACTACAGACACAGCACACTAACCCACTGAGCCAAATACCACCCCCCTTCGACTGAACATGCTTTATGAGGGTACGGAAAAACAGGAAGTGCACCCTGCCAGATTGTGTTGGTGGCTGGTATCTACAGTCTGGTAGTGAGTAATCTTTGTTATACTTCCAGGCTGGAAAATGTGTGCCACTGGTTATAATAGGCATGTCTTGCATTGTACCATGATGATATATGACTCGCCTCTATATGATTGGTTTTGAATAAGCTGGTTGCTTCCACGCCTGAGTAATGGGTGGTGAGCCTACAGGATGGCTCAATGTAGCCAAGTTAAATAGGTAGCCCAGATAATGCTATTCTAGGCAGAGTATTCCTGCTTTTTAGTGGGTAGTCTTTTTTGGATGGCAGTATGACTAGCCTCTTCTCATACAAACGTTTGCCAAGATAGCCCTACCAGGACCTCCATACAACATAGCTCTGTGGATCATGGTGGTATATTAACCCCTCCTGACACACCACGGTCACGACCCTCAGAAGGGAAGCAGTTTTACAGGCACTGGACAAGTAGAGTAACTGCTCCTTTGGAATGAGAGGAGTCAGTTGAGAGGCTTTGGTTATCGGTCTGGTCAGCTCCCAGAAGAGCTATTCCGGAGTGGACCCAGTGCGAACCTGCGGGGTTATCTAGCTATGACTCAGAGTCAGGGCCAAGACGTTCACTTACTGCTTGACAGTGAGAATGGGAAATGCATGATTTTAAACGTGTTATGATTGTTTATATCTCTCAGAAACAGCCACCATTGTGGGATTTCATTGGGGGTTACAGTTTACAGAGGATGGGCAATAAGCAGAGGTGGAAAGTTCAGGTCCTGAAAGTAGAAATCCAGACCAAGATTTTGTTTCAACCAACTAGTTGAATCTAAAGAGTTGCAGGCACAGAGTACTCAACTGGTTAGTTGAAACAATATCTTGATCAGGATTTGTGCTTCCTGGACCTGAACTTTCCACCTCTGGTAATAAGTAAAAAAGATCCAGTCTGTGACAGAAATGTGCCAGAGAGAAATGGCCAGACCCAGCAAAGCGAAAAGAAAGGCAGCAACTGCAAAAATGCCATGGAGCAAACTCCAAAAGTAAAGCTTCCAGCCCCTTGCTTCCATTTCAGCGCTGTCCCTTGCTGTCCTTTGTTTACCAGGATGGTTAATTTTTTTGTCACCTACCTACAGATGAAGAGGCTCGAAGTGACATTTTTGTCACCATACAGCTGGACCAGCTCTGGGGAGCCAGGATGAGCTCGCCCTACCCAATCACAAGCTTGTTTTTAAGCTGGAATTTCTGACCTTTACTTCCAAACAGCACCCCCTCCCCCAATGCCACCGTTAAATCCCATGGCTCATGCTACGTTTTAGGGCTGGGACTGAGCCCACCTTACAGTAGCTGATCCTAAGTACAGTAGTTTGTTGGATTTTTGCTGTAGGCAAACTTTCTCGAAATCCCAGTAAATTTACAGCTGAAATTCTCAAATTCATAATTAAAGAATTCTTTGATGCGAGGTAATGCATCTGAATGTATGTACCAATAAAGCTTTGGCAGTATGTATACTATACTATATTATACTATACTCTACTATACTATACTATAGGCTGTGATGCGTTGGGAGATCATGGGAGGCAACGGAGCACATTGTGTTATACAAGGTGTTTATGAGCAGGGTGGTATCTAAAGTGGGTCCGACAGACCTTGCGCTTGGGATCAAGCTCTTCATTGATGACTCCTGGCTGCCTACACAGAATGTACACAGAATGCCTCAGACCCTCTTTCTGATGCCAGTATCCTCCAACTGGGGTCAGGTTTTCTTTTGTAATTCCTGCAATACAATTTGAAAGATTATCATTATACTTATTTGATAACTACTTGAAGGTTTGAAAAATGTAATAATATTTATTGGGATCATAAGCAGATGACCCCCCCCCCCCCCCAAGACAACAACCTGGTGATAATCACCTTGACTGCTGTTTACCCTTACATAACAACCACCCCGCTGATGTCAGATCAGCAATGTAACATCTATCCTTTGATACTCAGCATCCAATTGCATCAAGGATTTCATAAAGTCATGCATCACTTGTCTCGAACCAGTATAATTTAACCACCTTTATGATGAAATATTGCAAATAAAATTATCCATATAAAACAAGTCTGTCATTTTGTGAAATTGTTTGTGGTCAGCAATTTTGCAATCTAGCAAAATTTTTGCATAATTTAATGTAATGAATGTTTCTTAGTGTATGAAAATTCCCAAATCCACTGATTTTTGGTCATTTTCGGGGAGAGTAAGTTGTATTTAAACCAGGTCCTTTTTGTTATTTATTAAGCTGCTGACAAGTTGTCTCTGAGTGCACTGATGGAAATGTACTGATGGAAATGTATTGAAGTGATTCTTGGCAAAGAGTAAAACCCAACCCAGGACCACTTGGTCTGAACAGCAAGTTAACTCAATGCCCTTATAAGTCTCCATTAATGAGATTTTCTCTTTGGTGAAGGTTTTGCATTTATTTATTCAGCTGCCTCTTTTGTGCAAAGCGACATAGTGAGGGTCAGGTAGCAGGATCAATCTGTCCTTGAATCAATCGGAGTGAAGAGACATGCTCAAGGGCCCAATGGTGACATCAGTCTGTCCTTCTTAAGGGGCCCTACAATGACATCACCCTGCCAGTCATGGGACTTAATCTGGTGACCTTCTGGTAATGGGCACAGCACCCTAACCACCAGAGCTTCGATTGCTATTACTGTTCTCGGTTACATTTCACTAGTTGCGAAAACATTTGTTTTATTTATAGTACCTTTATTATTATTATTATTATTATTATTATTATTTAAAGTTAAAGGAAGCAATCTGTGCATTGCTATAATCAGGTAACATTAAGCTTAATATTCGTATACCATAATATTCTTAAATATGCAGCAATATTAATCGGTACAAATTAGCAAGATAAATGGCGATGTTGAGACCCGCCGAAGCTTAAGTCACGACAAGCCTCCGATGCGCCTCACTGTAAACGGGCCATTTTCCACCGCCGAGCGGCGTTGATTTCAGATGTTCGTTCGGATCCCATTTAGTGGATATCGGAGGCGCAGACGCGATAGCTTAAGTGAGAAACCTGGATGCTGTACGGAGGGGGTGGGGGTGCTGGAGTGAAATGAATGCAGCAGCCACACTTGGCTGAAAGGCAGCATCCGCGACCTCAATCGCCAGGCTGCTGGAAGCGATACGCCGACCTGCTCTTTCTTCTGTCCGACGGAACCGGCGGATTCATGTCTGGATGATAAAAGGGGTTCGGGTTTCCTTCCAGGATACCCTGTAATTTTGTTGTAATGGACTGGACTCCTTCTCAAGAGCAGAGCTGGAGAGAAACGGGGAGGTATGCATATTGCCGAGCGTCTATCAGTATAAACATGCATACAGTACACGACATGGAGCGGGGCATCTTCCAGTGCCCTGTACTGTCCCACTGTGCCCACTTTACAGTCACTGCCATTTGCTGTGCATCCAAAAAGAGGGTTGCTTTACAGAGGGATTTTGCTCCGTTACATCGTTGGTTTCCGTTATCATCTCCGGCAAACCTTCGGAAAGCAATGCGTTTACCGCTAGAGCAGAAGATAGGGCCGTAAAGCCAAACTGTACTTATCTTTATATTTATATTCACCCTTAAGAATAAAATATAAAAAGATTTTTAAAAGCTTGTCTGTTTCAAAATATCCCAATATCTCAGGAAATGCGCCGACGACTGGCTTTGATGCAGTTTTGGAGCAGCGTTTTTCATAATGCCATAAAATGTCCAGTAATTCGTAATATATCATGCAAATGTCAAATCGTGCGACAATGTCGTAGAATAAGGTGATGTCATTTTCATTCAGTAGTAATAATATTTGCGAATGCCATAGACTCAAATAAAAATAAATAGATGTTCTATTTCAAAATGGTGTTTTTGATGTGATGGACCACGGTAACAGGGGAATGAACCAATTTAGAAATAGTGTGGATGTGCTGTAATCTAAAAGCTCAACCCAGAATTATACTAATGAAAACAAGAAATGGGACGTAGTAAAATCACAGCAAAAAAAAATCACAGTAACAGAAGACAACCAGTACTGAGGGCGTGAACCCAATGTTAAGTACTCTCTAATTACCACCATAGGGGCGTCTTACATCAGATAATCAATGTAAATAAATAATACACTTCTAGGCATTCCCATTCCACGTTTTCACCTCGAACAAAACATAATCAGTCGTAGAGAGGATTAACGGCATTTTAGGCGCTTGATGAAAATGCAGTGTCAGCTGTTTACCAAGGTAAATAACTCTCAGCATGTACTTTGACCACCCAGTTGATATCCAAACGATAAATGAACTCTCGCCCAGACAACTGGTCTGAATGCTTTCTGAGAACAGCAAGCAAGGCTATAAATGCCTTGGAATTTATAGAGCTTTTCAAGTTTTTACCTACTCATTCGGGATTTTTGAATCTCTGTGTTGGAGTACATTATTCATCGCCACTGTTGGCTTTTTATAATTAGAAAATATAAATGTAACACAAGGCAGCGTGATATTAATTAACCCACTTAGTTCAAGGCAGATTGCCTCAATACCAGGACACTAATAAACTATATTAGCTGCATTTATCTGTGTTGTCAATGATAGGATATTTTTGTTTGTTTTTGAGCGCGTGCGTTTCCTGAGCGGAGGCTTTACCCTGTTTTTACACCTTCGGACCCGGTACTGGCCCGGCAGCTGAGCAAATGCAAACAGCTGTCTGGGGAATTACAGGGTCACAACTCCTACGCTCGGTGACAAGTCCGGGCGAAATGTCCGTGAATCACACAGAAATGCGGGGAAGAAACTGAGGAGGAACAGGACTAGGAAAACCTGGTGTTGGGCACAATATGTCCAAAAATTTCTCTGCTTTAGAAAATGTTTTATGTAATTGCAAGTCTGCCTCTGTGTCTGTTACAACAATACAATAATAGGGTTGACTTACTGAAGAACCCAGGAGGTTTTTTAAAGCATTTGAGTTTCAGTGTTTTGACAGTAATTCAGGTGTCATAAAATTAATCCCGGGTATATTAAGCGTTTCACCCTATAGTGTTTTTCTGACCATTTCACAAAGCAGTTTTTTTAATGGCCAGTAATAATCTATATATCTTTTTTTGTGTGTTTTCAGTAAGGAGGGCATTTTACCTCATGAATCAAGATAAGGTGAAACTATAGTTGTGGGGCTTGTTTATTAGATGTGATAGGTAGACATAGATTTTCCAAAACATGGGTAGTTCATACTAGTTACTATAGGTGTTATTAATGGCATTAGTATTTCATTAAAGAAAGGGAGATTGAAACAGACGAGTATGAAAAGGCTCTAGGAGAGAATGGACTGTGTGTAAGTGGTTGAAAGTTTGCCAGTGTATGTTGCGGGCATGTTGGGTGTGTACTGGAGAAGGAAACCACCTTGTTCTGTAGAGCTGTTGCAGTAACCTGTCAGGATGTGCAGAGCGGGCAGTTACGCAAACCTCATCGCTCCAGGGCACCTGCTAACCTGGTGATTAAGTCAGGTTGTTAGTCAACATTCGCCTTGTTTACTGGTTCACTAATCCATCTACTCCTGTGGCCTGTACTATGAAGCGGGGTTACTGGCTAACTTGTCAGATTTAAGGTATCACAGTTCAAATGGACTTCATATTCGTTTACTTACATTTTGCCCAGACTACCTTAAATCCGACAAATTACCCTGATAAGCCAGTAACCCTGCTTCATAGTACAGGCCACTGATCTTGTCTTTGTTAATGCAGGAAAACAATCTTACTGAAAGTGAAGTAAAACAATAAATGTCCTATAATATTAAAATTGTTTATAATAAGTAGTATAACAGTCAGGCTTTCATATTTACATACATGCAGTCAAGAGTAAACACGTCTTTTGCTGTTAAACAGTCTTTGGTGATTATGCATCTTGATTAAGCTGTAATTAAGCCATTAAGCCATGCTGTGTCTTATTTTCACCCCCATCTGTGGAATGGTACTTCTCTCTTGTTGACGTGAATCTGCTGATCATGAGATGATTGTTTGCTTGTCACACCCAAGGTTCTGCAGCCAACTGGCTGACTTCTCCACAGCCTCTCCCCTTTAATTCCTTGGAGTTCCAGACACCTTTAACGTTTCTTGTTAATTACTTGCTATGGAGTGTAGTAGGAGTGTAGGGCTGCTGTTTTTGTATTGTGGAATAGAGATGATGTGGGGCTCAAGCGAATATGTTTCTGCTTATTTGCAGTGACAGGAAGAGTTTCTAGTGTAGCTTTGGGAAAAATATTGTGTAAAACAGTTACATCACTTACTCTGACAATTCATTATGGAAATTATTGCCTTACTGGTGACTCCGAATGATTTAATAATTTGGCTTGACTTCTTGTGCAGTTGTGTCTTAGAAAGCAAGGAGTTTGCAAAGTTCAGGTCATTAGGAAAATTATAATCGGCCATTACTTTTTATATAATCTGCCTTTTTTGAATGGAATTTCACTATACGGGACTATTCTCTTTATTGTCCTTATTGTTATTTTATTGTCTATTGTCTCAGAAAAAATCTGCATTTCGGTAACAATGCTGTAAGCTGTTTAAGTCAATTTCTGTGCTTTGGAATTTTGCCATTAAGGTGCGCAATAGTTGTAGAAAAATCTTTTTTTTTTTATTAATTTCATGCAATGCAAGCACTTTAAGTTGAAATAGGGCCCAGGGCATGTACTTTGAGAATTTCTTGGATTTTGTCACCCAGGTGAGGATTAAGGTTCACAGCTCTCAGTGAAGTCACTGAAAGAATTGTAACAATTTTTGTGTATGAGTATGATCGAGAATTAAGGTTTGACTGGACAGAATGTGGGGTGTATTTTTTTAAAGCTTCTATGCTGTTGACTCATCATTCTGTGGGTTGTCTATATGAAGTGTGAAATATCTTTATAGCTGTTCTCTGTTCCTGCAAAAGGATTTTATTTAAGGTAATCGCAAGCCGTTTAAAGCAAAACTTTGTCAAAGGAAGTAGTGTAGGTCTACCTGTGAAGTCTTTGTTTTCGATCCAACGGGCAAGCCTGAACCTGTGTCTTCCAGTCAGGCGTCTTCTCCCAGCTCCACCTTCAAGAAAACCATCAGGATTGCATAGCGAACCGACTGAAAAAAAGGGGGTAGCCCAAGCCTAGCCAGGAAGTGTGAGCACACACACACACAGTCGGTTGACTTGGCTCGCTGGAACAGAACCGCCTTTCATAAAGCACCTTTGCGGCTGGCCTCACTGCCGCTGAGACGCTCCGTAGTCGGTCGCCGGTGGCCTGCCACGTCGAGTCTCTGCCCTTGGCTCCATCTGAGAAGCCCGTGACCTCGTGCTAGTGCTCCCAAGTCGTATTTATGAAGAGGAGTGTCCATCCAGTTGGAGTTGGCAGATGTCCCTCTTGTGGAGAGCTGGAGATTATTTCACCGTGCGTGCAGGATAGGACCGGAAGATGAGTGGCTTTTTGTACAGGGGAAGGTAAGTCCTCAGAGAGACAAGTAATAAATTCCTTAGCGAAAGCTCGTCAGATTGACTGAGGTGTGTACGGTTAGGCAGTGCTCTGGGTTTTTGTTTGGGAGGAGCACCGACAACAGGATCTAAATGAAAAAGTTTGGGAAGGATCCATAAAATTGTGTTTGGGTTTTATATTATGTTTGGGCCGGTCCATCTGAAGTTTGTCAAAGATCACATGTGCTTTAATTATTACTGTAAGTTCTTTGGTTTGTTTTTCATTTCATTTGTGTTGAAGAAAGCAACATACAGCTTTCAGACGTTTGCAGAGTCATAGTGTGGGAAGCTGTGTTTGTCTTTGCATGTAGGGTTGCAGAATTCTGGGAATTGTTTGTTAATTCCCATATATTCCCAGTAATTCCCATGGAAAGTTTACAACTTGGAATGTGGAAGGGAAAGTTTCTGGAAAGCTTTCTTGTGCAGTTGTGGTTTCATGTGGTTTAGGAGGTGATCATTCTGTATTTAGTGCGACGTCTGCACCGGGTTTGGGGAAATCAGCCATACTTCAGTCATAGTAGGTGTACATTTGGGTGACCCGCTGTGTTTGAGTGCTCTGGCTGGGGGTGTACCTCCCCCACCACCCTCTACTTCTTGGTCATGCAGATTTTTGGGACTATAAGAAGGACTCCCCTGCTGAGCTTCAGAAAGTAGAACAACAAAGCTGGAAACTTCCCTATTGTTGTTGCCCTGAGGGGGATGCTGGGGACCTCGCCTTGCACTCGGCAGCGGAACAGCACGCAGCTGCTCCTGCTCCACATTCACCCCCACCCCTGTCACTACACCCTGTCACTCCCACGCATCGGACGTGCGTGGTCCCGTGGGCTGACATCCTCCACCTCTGCCAGCTGGGGGCTGCTTCGCTCTCCCCCCGCCAGGCCACTAAAGACAGGTCTTTTCAACAGTGCCTCTGCCGTCTCATTTCAAGAACTGGGCAAACATTATGTGAAAGAAACCTGCCCTGGATACTAGCTGCCTCGAGCCTTTTTTGGACGAAGGTAGCTGTTTGAATAACGAATGGAATGAAAGTGTGATCCTCTATTTCCATCCATGATGTCATTAAAAATCCTACTTATGACTCCTTGAAGCAACAATATGGTGTTAAAGTGCATGACATAACGAAAACCGAAATGTTGGGGTATACAAAGATAAATTAGAATTGTGACTGTAGTGTCATTGATGTGGGTCTGTCTCTGTATTATCTCAGTGTTGTGTTTCTTCAGGAAAATCTCCCATGAAGGGCATTATTTCCTAAAATATTCTCAGAAAGATCTCAGCTGGTCGCTGCAGCGGCGCCCCATGTGAGGATGACTGTCTTTCTGCACAAGCGTGTACACATGGAAAGAGGCTGACTGTACAAATGTGCAGTTATTTTTGACTGCATAGTCTGAAGGGTTTGGCAGCACAGACTGCAAAGTCGAATTCTGGTAGAACAGACCTATAATCTCTGAGGTGAAAAGGCTCACTGTCATGTACGAGGAGCTCGGGACACATTTTATGGCTGTAACACAGAAAAAGGGACGAGAATCACGAGGTCAGGTGGCTGTGCATTTGTCGCCATGTCAGCGTCATGCGCTCACGGGAAGACGTTCAGAAGTCATATGAGTTACATCCAGAGGACTGCCGCTTACAAATGTTTGTATTGTAGGGATTATGTGGATAACCGGGAAGACGTGCTGAGGAACAACGGTCACATGACAGGTGAGAGCGAAATATCTCCCATAATGCACCTCTGTTCCTTTATTTGATGAATATTCAGTAACCCACCACGCTTCAGTACACATATATAATAGTTCCTTGTTTTGGTTCATTTACTTCCAGTTATATTCACATCACAATGGTCTCTGGTTTTCATCCATATTATTTATAATATTGTAGTTTTAGGTGAATTAATGCTGCTTTAAGTATGTTTTGTCTGTTGTCATCACTGGGCAGGCCGTAACAAACCTTTCAGCACCATGCTGCAACATTCAAGTAAACTTTAATTCCTTTCAGCTAATGATTTTAAACAGTTAAAGGTTTTTGATTGATTGCAAATTCAGCTGTCTCTTGGCTTAAGGCAGGGGTGGCCAATCTTATCCGCAAAGGGCCGGTGTGTATACGGGTTTTCACTGCAGCTCCCTAATTAGATTACTAATTAGAGGACTGATTGGCTGAAAAGTCCTCACACCTGGGTTTGAACAGCTGACCTACAGGTTGCCCCAAAAACCTGCACACACACCGGCCCTTTGCGGGTAAGACCGGCCAGCGCTGGCTTAAGGGGACCCACTTAAAAAGCAAAATACTACATGTGTGGTTCTACTGGAAATTTTCACAGAAGTTTTAGCTTTTGAGGAACTATCCGCAATCTGCCCATCAGTGTCCATGATCTTCATGACTCCAGGAGGTTCGGTCCATAAGTCAGATTTTAATAAATCGCTTCACATACAGTCAGCGCAGGCACAGATCAATCACATGCTTCTCTTTTATCCACATTTGCGATGCTCTTCTTGGACTTCGCACTCTGATCTCTTAATATATTTTAGGTGATGTAAAGTTAACTGCTTAATAATTTGTAAAAATGTAAGCAAGACCATTCGTTCTTGGTTTCACAGAACTGCTGAGCGACGAGACAGAGAAAGGCCCTCCTCTCCAGCCACATACTTTGCGGAAGTTTGAACAGGTATGTGCTTGATGTCTCATTCGTTATCTGTGTGAACCACTGCGATTGTGTAACAATGCTTACATGTTCAGACGTTTGTGTTCATGCCAGTAATGTTTAGCCCCAAAATTGAAAATATTTGTAATATCATAATATTCAATATAGTATTTTTAACACTAGTTATGTAGTGCAGTAGGGTGTTATTCCATAATATCGAGAATTTAGAATTAATGTGATGTGAAAGAAGATAATGTTATCATCATATTTAATTGCTATAATAATTTGTCATAATAGCTAAAATATTTAAATATAAAATAGCTATTTGAATATAGGATGTTAAAAGTAATATGGGATATGGGCCCTGATTTCAGCTCTGAGTCACCTCACTGTAATGGTTGCGCCATTCAAAAGTGCATCATAGAAAATGTTCTGGCTTGCTTCCTAACTATTTATAATAATAATTTTAAAAAGTCTGTGATTGGTTGGAAGTTGTCCAGGAGTGGACCAAGGTTGTGATTGGATGGGCTAAAATGAACTATAATATCTTCATTTTAAATGGTAACTGATAGCAGCTTAGTCTTATACCCAAGGGCAAGAGAAAATGAAAAAGGGTCAATTATGGCCGGATGCATATTAGTATTGTTGAGTTGTAAATATGACTGGGTCCCTTTTGCCTTGCACTCTGAGTTGTCTGTAAATGTGTTCTGAGACTTGTGCTAAGTTGTGTTACGTATGGTAACATTTCAGCATCATCATGCATGTGCAGGTGTGAGGCTATGCCCGCCTATTCTGTTAAGATAATACTACAGCATCATCATGCAGTATGGTGATACTCCTATTAAATTATAATACTCCAATATTATTCGTTAGTGTAATGTTACAACATCATTATGCAATGTCAGCATTATTTGTTATAATAATACTACAGCACAATTATGCAGCAGTTAGCATGGTGAATAATGGTATTGAATGCCATTTATGTGATTGTATTTATGGGATTGAGTTTGTGTTGTTGTACCTTAACTACGGGACTAAACTTGAATTGGGCAAATGACAACTGGTTAATGATTGGAAAAATTGGGTAACTTTGTAGAGGACGGTGTAAGAAAAGCAATGATGAATTATATCAGGTGGAGCAGCCTGCAGGGCGGCCGTGGCAGATAGGCCTCCGGGATGTAGCACCACCATCTACAGGGTGGCCGTGGCAGATAGGCCTCCGGGATGTAGCACCACCATCTACAGGGTGGCCGTGGCAGATAGGCCTCCGGGACGTAGCGCCACCATCTACAGGGTGTTGATCCCTCCTTGCCTTTTTAACTGAACCAGCAAAAAGCCTGATCAGAGAAATGAGGCTTATATGAAATCTGTATGTAACCCGTATGTGGGATTGATCAATCAGCCTCTGCTCATTCAACCCACTGCCAAGCAGTAATGTAAGCAGTAGGACATGGTCGCCTAAGGGACTCGAAGCTTTTCTGTCACATCATTCCCACTTAGATCCTCCCACATAATTATGTATTTGAAGACCGGCGTTTCCCGGTGCTCATGAATGCAGCCGTGGGGATCCCATTGGCCTCACTGCAGCTAAGATCTGCCCAGCTTCTTACTACATTATTTAATCATATCACTGCATCATATCCTCCTGAGACCCGAGGAAAAAAGTGTCCTTCAATTTTAGGTTATTTGTCTTTGGAGGAAATAAGACATCTTACAATTCAGATTTTTTCAAATTTATTTTTATTTTTAATTTCACAGCTTGTCCTCTTTAGTGTACAACAGGAATAAATACATTCCCTTACATAAGTGAAAAGATAGATGCAAAAACAAAATGTCCACTGCAATGGACATAAATGAATGGGTGGGGTCTCAGGAGGATATACCATAACCGGACGCCAGTGTCCACTGACAACACAGCCGCACTGCAGAGACAGCCTGCTAAGCTGTACGCTCAGCCAAAAGTGCATGCATCTGTTAGGCTTGGGGATCTTCATGTTT